CTTGGTCTGAAGCTGAGCGTTGCCCAATCATACTAAGGTTCCCGAAACAGGGGCAGGTTTTCGAGGGTGCAGGAAAGAGCCACCCTCAACCCCTAAACCCTAAAACCCCAAAAGCCCTAAAACCCAAAAATCCTAAACCCCCCCAAACCCTACACCCTAAAACCCTAAACCCTAGAACCCTAAATCCCTAAAACCCCTAAAACCCTAAAACCCAAAAACAAAAAAACAAACCCTAAAACCCCTAAAACCTCTAAAACCCTAAAACCCCTAAAACCCCTAAAACCCCTAAAACCCTAAATAAAACCCCTAAAACCCTAAAGCCAGGACGCCAGTGAGAAGGCCCCACCAGCCCGGTCGGTCAAAGGTGCCGCCGCCAGCACCAGGAGCGCCAGCCGTCGAAGCGCCGACCTGGAGTGGGTTCAGTTTTTTCTTTGTTGTCTTTTGTTGTTTTTCTTCTTCTTCTTCTTTCTCTTTTGGTTTTTTGTGGGGGGGGGGGGGTTAAGGTTTAGGGTTCAGGGTTTAGGGTTTAGGGTTTTTGGAGCTAAGGGTTTAGGATTTAGGGTTTTAGGGTTTGGGCTCAAGGCTTTTAGGGTTTAGGAGTTTAGGGTTTAGGGCTTAGGGCTTTAGGGTTTTAGGGTAGGGTTTAGGGTTTCGGGTTTAGGGCTTGTTGAAACCCCAAACCATAAAACCTAAACCGTATTTTTTGGGGGTTTGGGGTTCAGGGTTAAGATATAAACCCTAAGCCGCAGGGTCTTTGGGTATGGGGTTTGGGGTTTCGCCGCGCCGTGGGTTTGTCTGTAGGCATTCGGGCTTAGGGCTTCGCGAATTCGGGCCTCGTTTTTAGATGTTCGGAAGATTTTTGTTGCCAAAGATCCCTTAAGGGATCCCCTAAGGGATCTACCTAAAGGATCCCTTCAAGGATCCCTGAAGGGATCTACATGAAGGATCACCTAAAGGGTTCAAGAAGGACTCTTGATAGGGTGAGTTTCCGTCGGATTCTAGAGGGTTCCTTAGGGTTTATTCAGCTTTTACGATAACTTTCATTAACCTGCCCATGCACGGTGGTAAGATTGATCCCTTCAAAAAAGGGGACCAGACAATGACAAAGAACTAAGTTGCGGCTTCCCTCTTTCAACAGGCAACCCCTTAGGGTTTAGGGCTTGGGGTGTAGGGTTTAGGGTGTATAGGGTATAGGCAAGGCTGACGTAAGGCTGGGCAGTTTAGGGGTGTAGAGGTACCTTAACTAGCCAGGACCTTCTTGATTCTGCACCGTCCCTACAAAATCGGTATTGAGGTTTATCGACCCCCACTAGTAGGTGACAGTGGGGGTTTAGCACCCGACCCCCGAGACGAATCCTCAACCCATACACCCCATAACCGCCGGCCCTTACGCTGACATCCTGCCTCTAACACCCCATTGTAAGCCCTATAGCACCTTTGTAAACCTACCAAGCACGCCTCTTCCCCGAGCACTTGCCGGGGGAAGCCATGGCGTCGAAACGGCGTTGCGCAGAGGTCCGAACTACGAGCCAAATGCTCTTCGCGCAGCCCAGACGGTCTTGGGTTCAGCTTTTTTGGGGGGCATCTTGGGTTTAGGGCCTTGGGGGTTTAGAGTTTAGGGGTGTAGGGTTTGGGGATTTAGGATTGAGACTTGAGGGATGTAGGGTTCGGGGTGGAGGGATCTGGGACGAGCGCTTCTATCCAGGGGCGTGAGGGGGTGCCGTGTCGTAGTGTGTATACAAAAGACATCTTCATACAGGGGCCTGAACTTCATAAGATCAGATAGGGTTTCTGTCCAGATTCTAGTATAGGTACAAATCCCTGCACACACTCATACTGCAAAATACCCAAAACCTTGTTTTAAGCAGCCCCCAGATCGGTGCCCCAAGTTAGACTCCCTAGTAACTTGTGAATGATCGCCCAGAGAGTAAACCACCCTGGAAAGGATGTGACAAGGTACCCTGAGTTCAAGAACACCCTGTCTTTATCATCGGCGCGATAAGAACCATAACCGTCATGATCACCATCAGTAAGATTTGAGAATTGGGAGAACAGGATTGAGGGCATGAGGTTTAGGGCTGCACGTGTTGGATTTAGTTGGCCAGAGTTGGTTTCTCGATATATGCAGAGGTACCATATACTAGGTACCGCGACTCCCACGCCACATACCCTCATGCAACCCCCCAGCGCGACTCCACAAAAACGACAGCGTCCCAAGATGCAAAAAACACCCCAGTGCTAGTCTTGATCCCCTCCGCACAAGACGAATCCCAAGACGCGATTATATTCAATTTACGGCGTTCCTAAACCGTAACCCCTAAACCCTAAACCCTATAATGCTCAAACCCTAAATGCCAACCAAGATTGCATCTGTAAAGCGTGTTGCTGTATACTGCCATTGGCCAGGTTTCCTCAAAACCATGAGTCCATAACCTGGAACCATAACCCCAAAGCCTAAACCCTAAACCCGTAACATTCTAAACCCTAAACCCCTACGCACAAGGGTCGTTTTGATTAGCATGGGGCTTTGGGGGGTAGTCCGTTATACCTTACTACAGCTGCGGTCAGGATTCAGGCCGCGAGTTTTTTTTGGGGTGACATTTTTTTCTATCTATCTATCTATCTATCTATCTAGCTATCTAGCTATCTATCTACCTATCTTATCTAGCTATCTAGCTATCTACCTATCCATCTATCCATCGAGATATCTATCTAGATATCTATCTAGATATCTATCTATCTATCTATCT